TCTAGAGTTAACAGCAGCGAGCTCGCCTAGAAGTGGCAAGTTCGGACTTCCATGCTCATGCTGGTGTACCAGTATGATCAAATTTAATTCGGAATTATTTAGGTGTGTGGTCAGTGGGTCTGTGTCAATCAGAGCCAGAGCTCGAAGAGCACACTGTCCTGTGCCTAGGTGCTGTGTTTGCTAGTGATGATACATCTGACACATGCTTCTGTGAGGGTCTTGTGCTCTGGGAGACACTGCTTGGGCTTGCTGTCACGCGGGATTTGGGAGCCGCCACAGAACAGGAATGGCCGAGGTCTGTGTAGTTGCCACAATTCCACAAGGTCCTGTGTCAAACGAGCAATAATCTGCAGCGTCAGCTTTGCTGGAATGCTTGTAGCTGCAGCTTCTTCTTGAAGTCCCGGGCCTCGTCCGCACTCTCTGTCTGTCATGCGGCCAACTTTGCTGGGCTCTAAGAAGAGTCAGCCCTTGCTCAGGACCCCGTCGGTTTGCGCTGTTGCATGAGTTACTCACATATCTCGCACTGGATTTGTTGTGCTGCTCGCCCATCTCTGAAGGACATTGTCCTCCCGGAGTGTGGAGCCGGCCAATGATGAGCCCGCCGAAGACCCTGCTCGAGGTTTCTTGATGGATTCCGCCAACCTACGTCTGAAAGGAGCTTTCACAGCTCCAGGTGCGCTTCTTTTGTCTTCTCACTGATGCCTCACGCTGCTGCCGCCATGATGTTGCTGTAGCGGCCTCCTTTGCAGGAGCAGAAGACTCGAAGGACAAGTCGGCAAGGAAGGCATCCAAAAGAGACAAGAGTAGCAAAAAGAAGTCTAAGGCCCCTAAGGCCAAGGGGAGCAAGCGTGACGATGACAAAGACCGGAAACGGAAACGCAGCTTGCCCAACAATTTGTCACTACTACTCTCTTCGAATTCTCTCTTGAAGCGAAAACATGTCCAGACCTATGTAAGTCCTGCCAAAGATGTGTGCGGTGTTCTCAAGGATCCAGCAGCTCGAGCAGCCAATCTTCCATCGACGAGTCTGCAGACGGCAGCAGCACTGAAGCCTTGGATGTTGAGACGGCTGTGAGTGCAGCTTCCCAAGTGTTCGGACTCGGGAAGCGGGAACTCCAAAGGGCTGGAAACCAGCTAAATGTGGAGGACCTTGCCTGTCGACAAGTGGCCACAGTGCTGGCGAGCGTCACACCCTCAATCACCGCGAGCGACCTCCGGGAGTGTGGTGGCGACTTGGCTGCTCGCTTGCATGAAGCCTCGGGTTTGAAAGTAGGGCTTTGTCTCTTCGCAGGTTGATTGCATATAGGTGTCCTAGTCTCACTCATGCAGCCCGGTAAGCATTCAGGCGGCCGTCTGAGTAGGATTACAAGAGCAGTTTCGGCGCTTTTTGGTTGAGGCCGGCACTACAGGCTAAAGGTTATTTGAGTAAAGTGGTCGGTAATTCGTGCCCACACACGACAGACTCTGCCATCCCTCAGGAAGCGCTGTTCATGAACAAGGTGTCGCTAGCCAAGAAGAACAGGAGGACGACGGAAGCCAGCGACGCAACGTTTCAGGCATGGGGACACATTTGGGAGGTTTTACAACTGTCCGGGCCTCTCCAAATCCAAACGACTACAAAACGAGCACAGGATGGGTTTTCTGCCAGCCCCAGTTGTTCACAAAAAGCGTCGGACGACTTAACCGGTTCTCGTGCAACGTGTGCTCTGTCGCATCTGACAGCATCAGCCAGTGAACTCGACCGACAGCTTGAGGTAAATCCGTGCACCCTAAGTTTTATTGATATTTCCCAGAGCCCTCATAACCGCAACGCATTGCAAGATTTTTGCCGTAAGACTATGCGAGACCATAAACTGTTCAGTGAGGGGTTCTGTGTTTTGCAAGTTTGCGCTGTTGGTGTCGCTTCTCGAAGCCCAATCCCCGACCGTCCTGAATGCTTAAATAAATAGAACTAGGACCCTTGAGTCAGTGAACCCTGATGTGAAATCTCAGAGCTTTGATTGAAGCCAAATCTTTCTCCTGAGCCTGCAACTCTACACTGAGCCCTGCAATTTTTGCAAGGTCGGGGCTTCAGTTCAGGTTTCGGCGTGAGGGTAGGGGTTTGGGGGGTGGGTTTACCGGTTCATGTTATGGGGTTAGGTTTACGGTTTGGGGCGGTTACAAGCTGGCTTGGTCGTGGGCTCTGACTACTCTACAGAAATGTTATGACGCAGTCTTTAGTTTCAGAGTGTTTGAGCAGGGTGTCCGCATATGCGTAGTTCATAGTACTAACGTCGTGAGTGGGAAGCATGCTGAGAATGTAAAGCAACTGTCTGCGCGATATGTCAGGCAGGTCTTGCGTGAGCACTTAATCGTAATTATTGCTCTTTAGGGCCCGAGGCCTTAAGCGGCTAAGCCTCACACCCATAATTCCTTAAACCTTATAACCCTTGAGCCCTTAAACTCGAGCCCTCCGGACCCTTATAAGGTTTATCTCTTTCGGAGCGCGAAGATGTCATGGGTGTTGTCATGGTCCTTGGCCCGAACATAGCTGCCGCTGATTCCGGAATGTATGTATACCTTGCTTAAGCTTAAGTGCCTGCACATCCCGAAGGCTTTGCAAAGCCCCACGTACTTCGGCGTGTTCCGTGCTGTAATCGAATGAATAACCGAAGTCTTATGTTTCGGAGGCTGAGGCTTCTCTAAGGCTACAGCGAGGAGCTTCTATTGAATGTATTGGAAGGCCTAGAATCCAGATTTCCCGAAAAGTAGAGAGAAACCCCAGCCTGTCGCTTGCACCCTCGTCGCTTATCGAACCAGATCTAAGTTTCCACCACAGTGTCTGATATCGGCAAAGGAGGAGACGCTACTTCCTGTAGTTTTTTACATTCTTCTTCAATCCTCTCTCATCTCTGTTGTTAAAGTAAACAATCCACCGAGAAACTGGATCTTTACGAAACTAAATGCGGTTCTGTGACGTCTCGGGCTTGCAACATACGTTAATAGTTAGTTAGGCCTTTGAGTCATGACCCGTGGCCTTGGGCCCTTCAACTGTATGATTGCTGGCAGGCCCGAACAGCCGCCGCTATGTGGAAGAAACGAATGGGGTCGCTGATCTCGCTGCGTGCCTGGGCTTCCAGACTTGCCAAAACACACTCAACCCGTAAACCCTGTTGCAGACACTCAGATGAGCCTTAACACACTGGATTGCTGCGGCTTTTGCCTTGCGTCTATCTCAAGCCCTGTATTCGCCTAAAGCCCACAACCCAGAGTTTTCATTGGTTATCGATACGTGCTGAACCCCCAAAACGGCCAAACAAAGACTTAGTTAGCGCTCAAAATCACCAGAACTTTGCTGAAGGGTTGAACCTTCCAACGCTCGGCCCTACTGAGCCCGAGTTCGGCAACGGACATCAGATTCGCATGTGTCCTCGGTAGGCATACCTAGAAAGCGCCTGAGAAAAAACCCAGCGTGAGACCCCTCAACCCCAAGCCGTGCAACCTCTCGCAACGTCAGGACCTGCGGACTTAGTTCCTAAGGCCGTGCTCGTCACCATCATCGTCGTCAAATCTGCTCTCATGGTCATCCTCATCGTCATCATCATTCCCTAAACTGTCCAGAGATTGACATCATCAGCATCATCAAAGACAAAAAGCCGTCATCCTCATCCTCCTCCTCCTCATTATCATCATCAGGGGAGTAGGGGAATAAGGGAATAAGGGAATAGGGGAATAGGGAAATAGGGGAATAAGGAGATAGGAGATTAGGGGAATAGGGGAATAAGGGAATGGGAATACGGGAGTAAGGAAAAAGGGCAAAGGGAAAGGGGGATAGGGGAATAATAGTGGGGAAATAAGGGAAACAGGGGACATTGGGGAAATAAGGGAATATGATTCAAAATGATAATGGTTATTGTGAGATGCTGACAATCACAAGGGTTGCGCTGCTGCTGCTGCTGCTGATGATGATGATGGCAGTGTGGTTGATGGATATGATGCAGAACAGCTGGCGCTGCATCAACAGCATCCAGGTCAGCATCATCTTGGTGGTCATGACCCTCATCACGAAAATCATCATCATAATCAGCATGATGGTGGTGGTCATCATTAACACGTGCCCCAAATTGGGGGCCCGGGCCCTTAGCCCAACTGCTGAGGTGAGTTCTGGTTATTGTGCTGTTGGTTTCTATTATATGTTGGAACCTAATACGATAGTGGATCACCGAAGCATGAAACCGTAGCAGTCTTTAAGTCAAAAGTATGTAGTGGCACTTCGGAATCCTTGAGCCCGAAAGCCTCAGCCCGGCGCTACCGGGTTAAGCGATGAATGCATGTTTTTACGTTACTCTTTGCGGGTTTCTTAGCATGAAATGTTGGGGGCAGCCCTGGATTGCATTTTCAAGCCCACTCAATGAAAATCCCTATAATAAGGCCCAAAGTATCATTGGACTTAGTCTGCAACTTGGGGCTAAGCCAGAGTACGCGAAATAGATAGAGTGGTTAGCTACTTCAGGGGAACCAAAGCTCAGCGAAATGAAGACTGCATACTCTTGTGTGACCACGATTCACGGCGGCTCAGCTGTGGTTTCTGTGCTCGGTGCATATCTGAGGGTGTCTTTCCTAATTTCCTACTTTCAGATTGGGGTCTTCTGTCCCCTAGGTCTGTTCCTCTGAGTCCTGAGCCAGGAACCAGGCTGAATACTTATCGTTAGCCCGACGGCAGGTGCCGCTAACGCCGGAACGCAGGTCGGGCTTGGCGTAGTTCTGTAGGATGTGGTCCGGGTATGGGTCTTTCGATAGAACTGAGGCTAATCGGATTGAACAAGACAAGTGTTTTGGTCTCATGAAACAGGTGGTACCTGTTGCTTCCATTTCTGCCAGAGGTAGTCAGAAAGATGTGTAATTCTTTATGGCAGGTGTAGGGCCAAGTTGCGCCCCAGCAACTTCCTCCTACTCTCGATACCCTGACCCTCAATCCTACTAAACACCCTAAACCCTAGACCCACATGCTCATCCTTTCAATGCCCATTGTCTTGTCCCGCCCAGTGACCGGGAAGTCCACGGCGAGCATCAACATATCCACAGCCAAGACGCTGCAAGATGTGGCGGTCGTGTTGATCGACCTGCATGGGCGGCTGGTCAGGATCCGCAGACAGTTGCCCCGTATATTCCTACGAGACCTTTCCCTCGCTGTGTGCCTTGAGGAAGAACAAGTTGAAGCCCAGGGCGGTTGCGGAGCAGCTCGAGAGTCAGCTGTCTGTTTTTCGCAAGGCCTGCCGGCAGTTGCAGCGGTCAATGTCTCAGTACCCGATCCTAGCTTGCGAAATCGGGTGAACTGGTGCCTACACTGCTTTCAATGAGCATGACGCAGCATGTCTTGTGAACCATACTATCCAGGACATGCAAGCCTGTCCCGTGTCCTTGTGCGGTGTTTGCTTATGCGGTCTACAGACCGGCCGGCGTGCCGACGCTCATACAGTTTTGGACTGGAGTAAGTCAGGCATGATGATCACAGTTTATCATTTGTTCGATCCCTATCAAGGTCTGAGTATTGGGACCGGAGTGCGCCCAAAGAAAAGATTGGAAGGGCCAAGGGCCAATAGGACAATACAGTTAAGGGTTAGTAGGAAGACCCCAGGTAGGACCTATACCTTGGAGCGAGCAACGCTCCTGTAATGGTTCAAAACTAG